GGGGGAGGGGGAGGGGGGGCGAAGGGTGCGGTTTCAAACTGTCGATGTGACCTTGGTGGCCTGTGCATAGCACTGTCCAATTCCAGAAAATTAATGATCTCATCAGCAAGCACTTGGACGTCATGGAGCAATAGCTGTTTACCTCCTCGTTAGGAAAAGACCCCTATATTTCTGCTAATTGTCCCAAATGTCCTTAATGTCCCAAATGGCTCAAATGTCTCAAGTGTACCAACTGTCCCAACTGTCCTGCTTGTCCGAACGTCTGGCATGTGCCAAATGTGAAAGCTTCCATTCAGGCTTCAGCGACCATGGTCTCTCCGTCAATTAGGTCTTTCCACTTTCTCATTCTATTTTCACTCTGACTTTTTTGGGATGCCCTGGCCCTTGGATTCAGAATGTCAAAATGTCGTCTTGGCCTCTCATACTTTTTACCCGGTTTGGGGACAGAACGTGAAGAATACCAAGGTTTCGCCGCGGAGCTATTCTATAACTTCTCCCAAAAAAGAATAATCTTCCCAGTGCTACATGACTTTCCCATTGCTACATCATGCCCAATTAGGAGAGCAGTCGGTACATTACTCCATGTACTCGGGCAGCCATTCGTCCTCCATCATGGTAGGCTCGACTGAGGTACTGCTTCCACAGATTCATTGTTTCTGGTCGTAGGTTATGAAGATGACTGACCAGATCGAAGAATCCAGGCTGCAGGACGAGGCAAGTGGGACCTTGCTAATGAAAAACCTTTGGAGCTGGGAATCCATGGAGCTGGCCATTATTAGGGCGGGACTGAGGACCCCACTACCTCACACTGGCTCACAGGCTGTCAGTCTTGGGAAGGCTTCTCTGAGGTGTGCATGGGCACAACTTCCGCACAAGGTTGATTGTAGCGCCGGATGGAAGAACACCTTTGGAAGGGGATTAAATTTTCGTCACTGACTCACTGGTAGTGGAAATGGAAAACCATTTGAAATGAAATGGCTCGGAAATTTTCGTCACTGACTCTACTGGTAGTGGAAATGGAAAACCATTTGAAGTGCGGTGCTTCTACTCTGCCCACAGCCCACATTGCCCCACAATGTCATGTGGTGAACCGGGACCCCGCTTTCAGCTGCCTGCAGTGGTGGAAGTGCACTTTTGGCTTAAGGTTTATTGTGATTTTCTTCTTTTCTTTTTCCTTTTTCTGCTGCAGCTAGTTAATACGCTGTTCAGTCTATGGATTAGTGGCAAGATTGGTTAATAAATGACATGAAAAATCACTGGAAATTCAGGCTTCTGTTAAGTTAACCCAAAGCACACTGGAAAGGGGGTGATGAAAATGGGGGTCCACACACACACACACACACACACAGAGAGAGAGAGAGAGAGAGAGAGAGAGAGAGAGAGAGAGAGAGAGAGAGAGAGAGAGAGAGAGAGAG